TATCCACTCGAATTATACGTTTAACACGTTAGTTGCGTTTGAACAAAAACAAAATGTTTAAAGTTTACGTACACCAATTATATCATACATGCACGAAACTTTGGCGTTGGACGAGATTAAATAATATTGTGCGTATMATAAAATAAAATTATTATATCTAACTTCCAAATGCCAACTTGTAACAATAAATTTAATAWCGCATCWAAAACCTGACGTATAATAGGAGTCTTCGTCACCATTATACCATATTTTACTCTCAAATARATTAATTTTTGGTACACTGCACAACATTATGTAAAGAATATTATTAATTTTTACCCTTTTACGATTCATATATATGTATTATTATCATTATTATTATTGAATACCAAACTTTTCGAATTAGTCATATCCAACAATATTATWACATTACAAGTAGGTACCTATATATACGTATATCAGACATTGATTCTTTTAACATGAAACTCATCTGGCGCGCGACGTGATCACAATAATACGATTATGATTATATTATTATAAGGCTAATATTAATAGAGTGGGGAATGGTAACAAGCGGTAATGGATTGTAACGTTGAAGAAGATCGAAAAATATCAGCCGTAATGATTAGTATAGTGTAATTTCAACATTTCCAAAGGCTCCCTTGGGATCGTGTTAAGTGGTCGAAACAGATATTAGGGAAGCGAACAATTTTAATTTCAGAATTTTGCTTATGCAGTTAGTCGGTTAAGTCATAAAAATGGGGTGTACATTTTTCTGCCAACGTTTTCAAAAATACGAAGATATAAAATTTCAAATTTATAGTAATTATTAGAAGTAGGCCGTTGGTAAAACATTAAATTTTAACCATGGCATATTMTGTAAAAAAATATTAAAATTTATATTCAATATAAAAATTAAAATAATAGTAATGAACTATCTATATTATGGTGTTTTAAGGACTATTACAGCCCCGCTGATCCCTCTCATAMTTACAGTACTAGTAATATTATGGTGGAAAAACATTTCTAATTGAAAAAAAGAGAAAAAGTACGAGCAGATGTCTCGGCAAGAAGATTAAATGAAAACGAAAATTCCCGAGACGGATACTTTAGTGCGCTCGTACTCAGGTGGTGGCTGCTGTCCGTCACAAGTCGTTGGCGTAGATGGAAAAAAAGAAAGAATATAAAACCCAAGGTGGAATAATATAGGAGTTGACATATTACATTGAACGTTGGATTCCTTCTCTCTTATGSGTACACTACATTAGTGTTCTGCAGTTGAACTTGAAATATTGCGCGTACATATTTATGTACCTACATTCACAGGGACTAGAAACAACTAGATTTAAAAGTACGTAATTATAAAATATTGATGAAATATCAAATAGATAATATTCATGGACATCAATAAATCTTCGAATTGAAATTGTATGKACTTGGGCTCGTCCGAAAWTKATAACGCAGATTGATGAMCTGCAGTATAGACCCGGTCTAAGCGTTTTTAGGATCTTGCAGCATTTATTTATGAACTTTACAATATAATTAACATTTTTTTCTCAGTTGATTCCAGGATGGACTATCTATTATTCAATTAAGATGTGTTCTTAATTTAATTTTTATATTTATAACWTAAATATTGCAAGTTTTATGTTTTTTGTTAATATAATTGTCATATTATTAGAGAAACTAAAATTAGGAGCTAAAATGTTGGTTCTTATTTTTAGGGAATTYTTTATAAGCAATTATTAGGTGTTTTTATTTTAGGTTTTTCACATCATCGGCGATATCATAGCATTCGTCGAATGACGAACTTGCTGCTTGCAAGTGCGTATTTTATATTAGTACAACGATCGTTTGTCGTTTGCGCGCGTATAGTATATCGTGATTACGACTTGGGKAGGAGGAGGGGACGGGACGGGCGAAAATGAACACTCGAAAAACTCCCGACTCGTCGGGCCGGTGACGTCGTCGCGACGCCTATGCGATGTAGGTACGCACCGTATTCATCATCGTATCACATGATTATTATTGTCGCAAAATAGACGTCGGAGCCAGGAGATACGGCCGGCGCGCGTGTACGTACACATCTGGTAGGCGTTTTCACTTTAGGCAGTATTGATTGTACGCAGTGTGCGAGCGCGTTCGTGCCAACGTCGGGAAAACGGGTCAGGGTGCGGGCTTGTCCGCGGAGCGCTCGGGTCCTGCGGGCCGCCGACGCGCGATCCCGCGGCGGCCGATCGCGGACGACGACGACGGCGACGACGACGACGACAACGCCGACGACCGCCGACGACGACGAGTGACGACTGTGGCCAGAGTTGGTACGCGGCACCCTCGCGCGGCGTGACGGTACTCCGAGTCCGAGGTTTTGCGGTCGCCGTCGTCATCGCCAGCGCACGTGCGTCGTCCACCCGTAGACAATCGCGACGATCGCAGATAGATAATAAGAATAATAATATATTGTACCGCAACGCGTCCGGGGACAGTCGTRTCGTAACCGCCCTCTCCGCTTCGCAAACGGACGATGCCGGTCCGAGGGTAGATTTGAAATTTTTTTTTTTTAAAGTTCGTTTGCCGCGGTTTTTTCTCCCCCCTCCCGCCGACCGGTACCGCCGCAGCAGTAACAGTACCATCGCGACGACGTAATGACTATTACGAGGACGGAAACTCCAACACCGCCACGGCCTCGACGGACCGTCTTCGTCGGAGTGCCTCGTCCCACGGCCGTCGTGGCGGTGCTGGCCACGGTTGCTGTGGCCGTGGCCGGTGGCAGTGGTGGCGCGTACGCAAGGCTCACGTCCTCCAGATCGGCCGCCTGTACGCTTTCCGAATTCGAGTGCTCCTCCTCGTCGTCTACTGCAGCCGACGAAGACGACGACGACGCCACCACGGCCACCGCCACCGTACGCTGCGTGCCGTCTATCAAGTACTGCGACGGCCGGCGTGACTGTCCGGACGGATCAGACGAACCGCATTACTGCACACGTGAGCTCAACAAACGGTTTACTATCATTTATTTTTATATTCRATGACACCYGCTGACCTATCACAAACATCCGATTGCGGGATTTAATACAAATGTAGAACAACTATGCACGTCAKTCGTGTATAGTATAAAMTACAAAAAAATAAATATGTTTAATATAATATAGATGAATAATAATTTWAAAAAAAAAACAGACACTTTATTGTTTTAAGTGCGAACAAGTCGATATACATCACGTAATCCATTCAAGAGTTTATAGAGAGGGTGATGAAATCTATTATAATACAGCGTTTTGATCAAGTATTAGATATAAGATATTCGGTCGGGAACTTTGCAGAATTTTGTTTGCAAGTTTTCAAAATTGCGGAATTCGGTTATTATGTAGTGGTATTTATACCGACGGGCAAAGTCTGCACTAAAGTCACTTTGTTAGTTCTTTTGACCTTTTTACATCCAATAATTCACTCGCAATATTACATTAAATTATTGCATATTTTCATAACAGTATAATATACGTTATATATTATACAATCGTAAATCGTTTCTGCAATCGCTTATATATATATATATTATATGATATTATCGTTATATCGTATTAGGTTGGGTACCTATATATGTATACACGCGCATTTGTAAACGGAAACACGTAAAATATTCTCGAAAATGTAAAATCATTTCACATCGTATTGCGTTTTGCCCTGGACTTTTCCTTTTATCAATTTTTCGGGCGTTGAGGATGGATTTGTTTTTCCCGCCACTCGAAACGGTCAATCCTATATAATATTATCGGGTCAGCTACCACCCCTCGAAAATATATTAYCCTGCACCGAGTGACACTGACCTGCCATTCCGTGAGAGCTTTCGCGGTTTAACCTAACATTTTCCACAACAGTCAACCCATCACAACAAGCCAACGCCATACTCGATGAACGCATCCAAACCGGTTGATGATGTTTAATATTATTTTGTCGACTAATATTTTTTTTTTCGTGTTTATCGCCGAAAGAGAACAAACAGCAGAAACGAAATAACAAAAAGACGTACCAATATCTTTATGACTTTATGCACGACACGACTATATTGCGCGCACCCCCCCCCCTTTAATTCTAGGATATTATATTAAATATTTTAAAGTGTATAATATATATATATAATTTTTCCGTTGTGCTTTTCGCATCCATCTATATATAGGTATTATTTTTTTCGAACCCCCAAGTTTCGTTTTTATGGGTAGTAATAGTATTAATAATATTTATGAGCGACAAAAGTGTTGGTCGGTTTCAATCAACGTCTGGCCATTGATCAACTTTTTATTAATACCTAAGCGCTTATATATTTAATATTTGCAACCCATAAAATGGCGTGAAATGAAGCCAACGAACATGGTGTCCGTGGTCGTGGACCTAACCTACCGTTGTTACATTATAGCCGTTTSGTTTACCGGGAAAATGGTCGTTGCGATATTTATTAGGTACCTAATGAAGTAATGAATAATATACGAGCCTCGCAGACCACGGATGGTCGAAAACTTTCCGTCGACAATCGTTGATTTAATAAATACTGCACGTCACGCAGTAATGCAGTGTGTATTATTAAATATTTAAATATTAAATATTTATAAAGCACGCCGGCCGCTCTCTCGTCGAATAGCTACCATAATACCGCCGTGATTTCGTCGAAAATCTGTTCACATTTAATACGAATTTATGTTCCATAACTCTYGTGCACTGCAGTATAGGTACATCGTAAATGTTTGGTTGGTTCAAAACGGTATTTAAGCGTATTAAACCCTTATAGATCATATACTATGGATGGACCACAGCGTATTATACCAATAAAAAAGAATGAAGCCGATATTAGCGACGAGTCATCGAATTAGAGATTCGATATGTGCATGCGCGATATAATTTGTCACTCGTTTACCCGCATGTTACCTATATTGTTATATTTTGACATTAGGTATGGGCGTATGGCCTAATGATAATATTATGCGACGAAATAAATCGCACGTCCACATATTATCGAACACCTAAATCGGAGACTCGTCGCTAATATCGGCTTCAAAATAATACGCTGTGGCTCTAAGATTAAACCAACCGATTGCTGCAGTTCATATTTGATATTTGATATTATAATTTTTACTCCCTAATACCTATATAATATGCCTTCACTTAATAATTACTTMTCAACTTATTAGTTATTTTTGCTGAGTACCTACTATTGTAGCTAATAAACAATAATAAATTATTTACGCGTATTTCAAACATCGACATTCATATCATAATATAAACATAATATTGTGCCTCCGTATTTATACATGGAACTCGACAGACGTCAAATTAAGTCATTGCCATTGCACAGTCGTCGCGATTTTATACTCCAGATGAGTATACCTACTCGGAAGTACGCCGTCGCCGYCGCTGCCGTTGGCGACGATTATGTCGATTTTTAGCATTATCATTATTTAATAAAACGTTTTAGCGGGAGTGTTCATTATGATTTATTAATATCATATTCATCAATCTGTTTAGTCCCGTTTCGAAATTAAACTGCATATAGAGTTGTATTTTAAGATGAATTATATTTTTCTAGGAAACGTTAAATCTAACGTCGAACACGCATAATGTATTTTTGACCGTAACTAATAAGTAATAACTATATATAAATAATATAAAATGGATACTTAGGCCATCTCTATACTAAACACCCGTGGAGCAGCGCCCCCCGACGTTTCGGTATTGCACAGTACCATTAGTGTTACCAGTTGAAACCGATAGGTGACCATTTTGAGTTATCAGTTATCATTACTTACTAATAATAATAATTGTTATCAAATAATAATAACAACATAAAATATTTGATCGTTTACCGTTAGCTGTTTGAATTTGGAAATATGAACAGAAATTTACAGAAGTAATCATACTAATTCATATTTCCTTAAATTATTTTATTTAAAATTATAAATAAAAAAATTATAAGAAAAAATGACTTGTTCGTGGGATAAAAAAATATTCAATCTCATAGCTTATATCATTCAGGAACGTTCAGAGAGGTCAGGTGGTCTATCCATTATAATTACATTATGAGCATAACGCGACACGCGAGTATAGAAAATAAAATATCCCAACTATTATTATGTCCCTCGACCATATAGTTGCAGTTTTCTACATAGGGAGAGTATTCGCCAAAAGACGATTTCGCTATATCTAAAATATAGGACTTGTATAGGTCGAAACGTACAACTGCAATATTATCGGGGTGATTTAATAAAATGTTGTAGATCAAACTTTTAAGCCTAGTTCGATTAGGGAAGAGAAAAAAACTACGCTTTTTGGATTTAAAATAAAACATACGTTTTCAATATTTGTTTGTTTATTCTCTGTGACGAGTCTGGCACTAAATAAATACTAAAATACCATATATATATATATATATTATGGCTTTTAAAGTATTTAAGCTGTATAGTTCATGCAATTAATAGCATGCATAATATTGTATTATAATAACGATAATAAATCAATCGTTTGCGATGATGGGTTCCTCTTAACGCTTAGTTACTATATAATATTAACAACCCATACAGGTAGATGATATTATTATAATATACATATTATATGAGCCACCAAATTTTTATGAAGGCTGATAAAAAAAATAAATATATATATATATATACCTATACATTTTTTTGGCAATCTCCTCTGTATATGACGAGCAGTTTTACATATTATTATTATTATTATTATTATTGTGCCGTTGATTTCAAGCGTGTAATGAGGTCATGTATATAGTTTACACGGGAAGCAACGGTTCAGGGAGCTTGCGGTGAAAATGTATAGATTTTCAGTGACCACTCGAAATGTTTTAGCGTTTATTGAACATTACACGGTGTGGCCTTTACGCTGCAAACTTGCTCGGGTACGTGTAAAAAATTGTTTAACGTCGTTATGGGGCGCGTTTTAYGAACCACCTAAAATATTTCTGTTGTATAGATCGATAGTAAATCTCGCTGTGCCTTAATTGCAATATATTAAAACAGAACTAGGCTTATTTGATATTCAAAACGATTTACAGGTGAAATATAAAATCACAGAAAACCGAAACGGCGAACGACGTACAAATTGTTTGAAACCATCGAAATATATCGACGGAGTAAATGTAGCCAAAGCGTCAAATACAGTATGCCTCGGAGAGCAATAATTTTCTCCAAGTTTTATTTTCTAGGGAAATCTAAAAGCAAGAACACGAACTTACATTATACACACACATATATATATATATATATATATATATATATTATATTATATATTATAGATATAGATATGGATAGAATTCATGCAAACATTACCACCGTTGGTTAGCCTTGGCACATCCAATAATATTTTTTCTTCTTTCGAGTGTAAATCGTTTTGAATCATTCCGAGTAATAAAATATACAGATATAATATAATATATATGTGCCTCGTGTATGTGTAATGTGTATTATGTATATACATCTGAGTTTTTCCCCGCATACAGTGAATTTTATATGTGCCTATATATATATATATATTATATATGTTCGCAAAAATATTTAGATAATCCGTGAATATTCTCTCGGTTTTTGGGGCAAGTTTTTATTTGTTATTTTGAATATTTTTTACGACTTACAATAATAATATAGAATCACACTGAAGTCGGCAGATGACCGATAAAGATACAATCTAAATGTATATGAAATTAATGTAAAGCTATACATATATAGTTTGCAACAAATATACTTACCTATGAAATTGTGTAATTAGTTTCATAATAAACTAATTCTATTATACGGTCTAATTAGAACGCGGATTTGCATGCTTATTCGGATATTCCGCTTGATTGTAAACAAAATTGGCACAAAAGTTGTTTCGTGGCGTAGAAATACTTTTTTTAATGCATATTTTTGCATAATATTTAAACTTTTTGACGTTCGAATGATTTATTTTTTTTWAATATTTTACTGCAAATTTAGACGATTTTT